AAAAACAAGGAACTCATGCAATATTATTCAAAATGGTTGACTCTGGAGAACATTATGCTGACTGAAATATCCCAGTCACAAAAGGACAAATATTGCATAGTGCCAGTGCTGTGGAATGGGACTGACATTGGGGTTAGGGAGAGACTGAGTAAAATGGGCTTAGTAATGTATTCTGCACTGAAACAGAGGAGGGAGAAAACTGTTTAAAACAGATATGTGATTAGGTATTTCAGTCATGACAGGAGTCTAGAGCAATGGCTACATGGTGGAGTGGACCTGCGGGAGGATATGTAAAACAGTGAAAGAATTTTTCTTTTACTTTTCCAAGAGGGCAGTGTTCTGTGGGGGAGCCTTGGGAGGGGACAAATGTGCAACAATGAATGAATGGAAATCCAAAGCCTCTGTAAATTTTCACTGAAATTAATAACAAATTTAAATTTGAAAAAAAAGAATTAAGTTAGAGAAAGGATGGCAATGGATTTATAACTGCTCATGTTAATAACACTATATTGTGGCATGGAGGAGGAATAGTGGAAATGTATCCACATTTACAATATTCCTCTTACCAAAATCATTTGTGGAAAATAAGAAGTGCATTGGAATATGTACCTCTGGATTGGAAATGATCATATTGTTACTATTTCTAGCCTTAAGCTTAAAAGATTATAATGTTCAAAATTATTTGTTATATATTTGTTTAAATTTTTCCCTCTTTTAACAACTGGGATCTACAGGGAAGAGAAAAGACCAGAGAATGGCCAAAATTATTGGGGCAGCTATTGCTGCCGGTTTAGGCCCTGTGTCAGGAAAAGGAAGTATTACTCATAAACTCAAAAACACCCAAAGGTAATAAAGGAGGTCAGAATTGCTTCCACTGTCGAATTGGGCCACTTCAGTAGACAGTGTCACAGACGAGAACCACAGATAGGCAAGAGTAGAGAGGAAGCTCCCACTCACTTGCTTTAAGTGTGGATCTGAAGAACACTTGGCCAAGGGTGGCCCACATCAGATCCTTGTGGCTGACAGGACTGAAAGGTCCCAGCTCCCAGTTGGAAATAAAGGAGGACGCTTCAACAATTTAGATCCTCCCAGGAGAACTGTGAGTGAGCATTAACATTACTGGTAAGTATATTCATTTTCTCCTGGACACAAGAGTCTACTCTTTGGTCCTAAAAGTCTTCTGAGGTCCCAACCCTTCTCACTATTTCTTGGTTGTTGGAATTGACGGAAAACCTCATACGCAGTTCCTTACTTCACCTCTACCTTGCATGCGGACTTCCGAGTTGTAAAACAACCCAGTGATAGATGGAATTTGCTCCAGGACTTAAGAACAATAAATGACATAGTTGAGCCTCTACATCTTGTGGTCCTAACCTTTATACTATAATAGACAAAGTGCTAGTCAATAGGCCTTTTA